ACCCCCCCCCCCCCCCCAAAAAATAAGAGTTTTGCATTTTTTTTTTTTACTGCAAAGGTGCAAAAGGCCAACAAAAAAGCTGGCACTCTCCCGGGAGTGGCAGCTTTTTTGTTGGCTTTTTGCACGGGATCCACTCGCATGTGTTGAGTGCTGCTTCTCGAAGCTAGCCGACGAAATTCTCTAAGCTAACATGTTCCCGCGTACACTAACGATACGAGCTGCAGAGTGCCAGCTCGTCATCGAACGCGAGAATCGCCCGTTCCGACTCGCGCGAGAAAACGATCGCGAGAGTCGATAACGAACCGAAGAAGAACGCCGGCACATTTTGCAACCGTGTTCGGCGCACGCGCAAGGGCCGGACTCGGCGCAGCGGAGCAAGGCCCATCAGTGAGGAAGATGGCAGCCTCAGAGACGGAGCTCCGACGCAACCACTGGGCCCGAGCCGGGTTTTACATCTCGACCTCCTCGGTGGACAGCGAGGGGGGGACGGGCTCGGCGAGCGACTGGGACCGAGACGACGAAGAGACTTGCTCTTTCAGCGAGGGGAGGAGACGGCCGAGCGTCATCGATCCGTACAGCATCCCGAAGACCTTGAGGAAGAATCAGAGTTTGGAGTTGTTTCAGCTGGTGAAGAATGCGGGGGAGGCCAAGGTCCTCGTCATATACACCGGTGGCACCATCGGCATGGTCAAGAACCAGCAAGGAGGTACGTGTCCGTTACCGACTTTCTCGAGTTGCGACCGTCGGACTCGCGCGTTCGCTCGGCGTGTCGTCGCCGCCGCGACTCTAAGAATCTCCGAACTCGCTCGAGGGAAGGGCGTGGGACTCACCGTAACGACAGGAAGACGGGGATTGCAGGGCTCAGCGAGGCCGTCCGACGCCAGACGAGGGAAGAACCGGACTGACGATCCGTCTTTGCATCGGCGAACGTGCACGAACACCAGGTTTTGAGAGTTGGGTCGATGGTCATCGGTCTTTCTCCCCTCCGCGAAATCCCCCCCGCCCCACCCCCTCTCCCCCTTTACGATCGATACGGCCTAGCCGGCTTGCGAGACAAAAATAAAATCTGAACGTGTTCGGCTCGGAAAGGACTCTCGCTTGCACCCGGGAATTTCCTATAAAAAAATAAACTTTTTTCTCCTGCGTATCGGTACCGAGCGGGGAAACGGTGACGTCATCCGAGTTGGCAGTCGTAGAAGAAGGTGATCGTTACGGTAAAGGGTCTCTGCTCCTTTTCCGGATTTCAGTATTGGCGCCCGTCCCGAACGCTCTGGAGGCCATGATCCGCCGCTACCCCCACCTCCACGACGAGGTCTACGCGAGTAAGCACTACGGCAAGGCGGCCGCCGTGCTCGAGCTCAAGCACAAGGCGAAAGTCGGCGAGGATTCCCCGCACTCGGACGACGAGAAGTCCCACCTCCCCGACACGCCCCTGGCCCTACCGTCTGTCGATCGTTCCTCGTTCCGTTCGTAAAATGGCAGGGACGAGAGAAAGAGAAAAAAATGATTTCGCTTGCGAATGCAGGGAGACGCGCGAGAAGAAGCGAGTGGTCTACACCATCTTCGAGTACGAGCCCCTCCTCGACTCCTCCAACATCACGATGGACGACTACATCCGCATCGCCTCCGACATCAAGGTCTCCACCCTCCACCCCCCCCCCCCCCCCCCCCCCCCCCCCCCCCCCCCCCCCCCCGCCCCACCGATCGCCTCATTCTCGTCCCTCCATCCATCCACAGAGCACGTATCACCTGTTCGACGGGTTCGTGATCCTGCACGGGACGGACACGCTGTGCTACACTGCCTCGGCCCTCTCCTTCATGCTGGAGAACCTCGGGAAAAGCGTGATTCTCACCGGCTCCCAGGTCTCGGTTCATTCCTTCCCCAATTTATTTATTTATTATTATTATTTTTTGCGAAGAAGACGGAATGAGCACGCGTGCGATCGAGGTTTACACGGGAAACTGAAAGCGCCTGCCGGCAACGGATGCATCGAGTTTCCGATCGGACGTCGTCTGAGAGAATTTCCCAGACGTTCCATGCAACTATGAGAAAGTCTTCGTTCTTTCCCCACGGTTTCGGTTTTGATCCGGAGAATCCATTCGCGGCGATCCCGCGAGATGCGTCGTTGCTCTCGTATCGTTTCTCTCCAAGGAATTTCCATTTCCTCCGTCTCTTCCTTGCCTGGAAAGCATTGGCATCTTGCAGACGCATCTATTTTTCATGCTCCGGCCATCGATTCAGCAGAAAGCCTGTCGGAGATATTTTGTCATATTTAGAATGTAAAAATGGTCCCTTTTGCATCCAAAATGAGGACTAAGATGAAATCATTCCTGGTATAAAAAGAAAGTATAACCCTGAAAATGAATCCATCGCTCCAACCATGGAATTCAACTCCAACTCCTGAGTTGACTTGGGGGGGGGGGGGGGGGGGCCCTGGGGGGGGGGGGGGGGGGGGGGGGGGGGGGGGGGGGGAGACCGCTGGAGCAATGGATCAATTAGTCCTCCTTCCCTTGTCGAGATGGCGGTTTGAAGCGGGAGCGAGGGAGACGAGGGAAAAATCAATGACAAAGAATTACGTTGTCTCGTCTAGTCGCGGATCAGTGGAGCTGCTTCCCTCGGCACGCGTCACGAGGCCCTGTCTGGTATTATCTGTGCGCTATTGAGTGCGATCGTGCGATTGCGCATGAAAATGACTGCGCAATCGAATAATTTAAATTACGTGAAGAAGATATCAGCGGGAGGGGGGGGGGGGTGTTTAAAAATAAATGTCTCCGTGGGCCATTGGGTGGCCCCTTTCGGCCCCCTTTTTTTGGATCTACCGATGCTTACAACCTCTAAGTTAATAAGGAACTTGCCTTTATAAAGTTGTCTCGGGTTGACGCAGCTATCGTAGTCGTGATTTAATTTGAGGGGTTCTTATGATACCTTTTTTGCCCCATCGAGGACCATTTTATCTCCCGTCAAAAAACGGGAAAATGCGATCACCCGCGCAGCACCCAAACCGTTCACTCTTCATTTCATAAATTAATATTAATAAATAAATCTTTCTCTGCCGACAGATCCCGATCTTCGAGACCCGGAGCGACGGGCGAGACAACTTCATCGGGGCGCTGATCCTGGCCGGGAACTACGTCATCCCGGAAGTGACAATCTTCTTCAACCACAAATTGTTCAGGGGGAACCGGACGACGAAGATGGACACGGGGGCGTTGGACGCCTTCGATTCCCCCAACCTGCCGCCTCTGGCCAACTTTGGCATCACCATTCGAGGTAGGCAATTGCCATCCGGTCTGGGCAATGGAAATACAAACCTGATGGCTTCTTGGGCTCATAATACTCTCCATTAGTTATCTGCTTGACAAGTCGCTTGAAATTGGAACCGTCAAATGGCATGGCACCATACACTCATTGTCAAAAAGAACCACGACGAAGATGGACACAGGGGCGTTGGACGCCTTCGATTCCCCCAACCTGCCGCCTCTGGCCAACTTTGGCATCACCATTCGAGGTAGGCAATTGCCATCCGGTCTGGGCAATCGTCATCCGGGATAGGTATCACCATCCGGTCCGGGCAATCGCCATCCGGTCGTGCCCATCCCGGATGACGATGACTCGCCGACTTTTTGCAGTCGGTCGTTTCGAAGATATCCCGAGTTGTTCCTGCCTCGATTAAGACCTCGACATCGGAACGCTTAGAAGGGGAAGGGAATTCTAATCGCAAGAGACGAGACAAGGAGAGGATCGTTTCCGGGAATTCGACTCGATGGC